ATAGGGGAAAAAAAGCAATGACAACTGTGTAACTTCATATTTTAAATTTTCCCAACAGCTATCTGGACTGATATGGCAAAAAGTGCCATATCAGTCCAGATAGCTGTTGCTTTGAAGCTGTTGGTAATCTTTCAAGCAAATTCTTCCACGTAGAGGAATTTCCACTTAAACTTCCTTAGAAGTTTAGTCTAGTGAATGGAGCTAAATAAGTCTCCAGAACTCTCAAAATACTTTTTTGATACCCTGATGTCTCATGTCTTCAGCTGTCGCAGTGCGGGCGCATGCACTGAGCCCCAGTGCTGGTGTTAGTTTATTTGAATACAAAGATCCAAAGAGACAGATCACTGCCTGGAGGAAGTGATGTCCCACACCTGTTTTGGGTTTCGTCTCGATAGTGACAAACACGCACAAATGCAAAGGTGCACACAAACACCACAAACTAGACAGCCTTATCGCTACCTGCAGGCTTGGGGTTGAGAGATGGAGAGGGGGAGACAAAGAGAGACACAGAGACAGGAAAGAGGTATGCATGACAGTCAGCAGAACAGGAATGGGAAAAACTAGTTTGACTTCAAGCAGAAGCCATGTCAGCAGACTGAAAGCATTTCATCTCCTCAGAGAGAGAGCAGAACGGAAGAAGATTAGAGACACAAGGAATGCAAATATATCATTAATGAGCTTAAGTGTTGTATTCACATATGGTCAGCAGGAGAGTTCACAAAATGAATTCTTCTGTTTTATATTGGATGGATACCTACAAAATCCATAAATATTTTTACTACACATGTAGCATTTTCTTGTCATTTTATTTTGTTTACTATAACTCTAATTATATATTTTTAATAATGACTTTATATTTTATGTATTTTTGAATAATTTTATTTTTTTATTTGCTTCGCACTGTTCCTTATTTGTACTGTTCTTACTGTATTTATCCAAAGATAAACTGCTTTGGCAACTGATTTGGCAGTTCAAACGTACTGTTATTTGTTACATCGGTAAAGCTTGCTAAAACTGAGCAGCAAATTGTGAAAGAGAGGTTTACGTCCTGAGTTCAAGCACAGTTCAGTGTGTATTTATAATAGAACATATTTTAAATGCAGTGGGAAGTCACCTCCCACTCTAGACATCTCTTCTGAATTGTGCCTTGCCCACTGACACACTGACTGCAGAATTTCTGCTGAACAGCTCTTCTCATCCTCAAACACTTCAGCTTTCCTGGTCACAATGTATGCCATGGCCAAGAAAAGTAAGGTGATTTTCTGAGTCACATGGTGTGTCGAGTATGCGTATTTGATTTTTACAGTATCCATGAAAAATGGGTAACAGAGCTTGTGCAACTCTATATAGGATGTTCTTTTTTTCATGTTATTATGCCTTGTTATTTTTTTTTATAACTTGGATGTAGGCTGTCAAACATACACAATTGTTAATCAGAGCAGTGGGCGTTTGCTTCCGAGTCTACAATCTGCCACGCCTATTCAAACAGTGTTCTGATGAGGGGGGTCAAAACAGGACAGAAAATGTCTTATTAATTAAAAATTATGTAAAAATTGTAATAACATTATAAGTGGAACCCACAGAACACTACAAAATAATAAAAAGTTCATGACCCCTTTAAAATTAATTGACTTCAAAGAAACTCAAACTGAAGTTTGTCAAGATACACTTTGAATGACTTGACAAAAACTTTGAAAAAAAAAAAAATTTTCAAACGCATTAAGTTTGAAGGATTATATGCAATAGATAAATAAAAAGTGACAGAAAAAAATCTAATAAATGCTGTTCTTTTGCACTTCCTTTATCAAAGATTCCTGGACAAATAAAAGTATCACGGTTTACCACTACATTAATAAATTACATTTTAAAATACATTCAAATAGAAAACAGTTATTTTGAATTGTTATAATATTTCACATTATTACTGTTTTGCTGTGTTTTTCAAGTATCAGACAAATGCAGCCTTGGTGAGCATAAGAGACCTCTTTCAAAAACATAAAAAGGATGGATGGATAGACAGAACGTTCTACAGAGTTTTTACGCACAGCTACCGAACTGAACTCAGTGTGAGTTAATGTGTCAGTCTGGGAGGAAACAGCATGTACTGATTAGGTCCCCAGCAACACATCATTTTCCTCATGATCAGCATTGTGCAAAACCACAGTTGTAGTCAGCAGATGAGAAAGAGACGAACAGACTAGAGTCAGACTATGCCTTGTATCGCCTTGTATCGAGTTCACAGCCATCTCTGGTTGATTCATCTACCTGTAAAACACAACCTTCAGAAAAGTGCAAAACCGGCAGATGCTGCTTTTCCTTGAATTCATACCTGTTCGCGTCATGTGCTGAGTGATTTGCCACCGGGAAGCCGCCAGAAAGGAAAGCTCATTAAATTAGATGGTTTGGAGGTGTACACACTCTTGCGCTTCGATTTGTGGAGACCTGCGATTTGAGGAGCGCTGAGGTAGCCAAATGCTGACACTGATACTCCCATATGTTGAAATGTCATTAAAACTACATCCCTGCCAATTATGCAACATTTCCCTGCTCCATCTGGCTGATACGAATTATGACCCACGCCGGCACAGGTGAGACTATAACACCCATAAATGTGGCACTCGTGCTCAGAGCCATATTGAAAATGATTGTTCTTGCACTACTGGCCGTGACCGCATTGCCCTGTGCATTGGCCACAACCAGACCCAAGCGGGCCATTATCTCTGTGGGTCATGGCTGGAACCATAAATTGGTTACTTAAACCTCTGGACTGCAGAGAGGTGTATGTGATCCTGTAACACTGGGCACTGCTAAGTGTTAATCTGCAGGGGATAATAGCAGCCTGTGAATTGGTGTCAGGCCTTAAGTGTGAAGTCTTGCAGTCAAACTCATTAGAAGTGCTGAGGTTTGCTAGTGTTTGCAAGAGCTCTTAAAGTAAAGGCTTTTGTTTGTCCTGTTTGTTGTATATGAGAGGTTGCTTGCTAATAACCAAGTGCACTTCAAATTAGCAGGCAGGCCAGCCTGATCAATTTTCATTCTCAGATTAGTAATTTCATTTTAATTGTTTATTCATGTAGGAAATCAAAAGCGTTTGGCTCTGGCAAGCTGGCGGTGACGCAAGGAGCGCAATTACCTCGAGAAATAAATGATTGTTATTAGATAACGCTACATTATGATTGTGTTAGATTGATCCTTCAGTAGACTGCTTCCTAAACTGCTCTGTTGGGTAAATTGAATATTGAATGGTCAGATCTTTATTCCCTTTCCCAGAAATGTATTTTGTTCTGGAATTGTACTTGCACAACATTTACTTTATCTTGATATTAGCATTGAGTGATGTGGCATTTATGAGGGAAGCTGAAATAGACGTTGATTGATGCAGGCAAAAGGTTTTTGTTTACGTGTGTGCACGCGCGTTTTTGTGACATATGAGGACAGAAATTTGTTTAATGACATGGGTATGACATAGGTATTACAAGGAGAAGGTGACTTATGAGGACATTACCCCATGTCCCCATTTCTCAAAACGCTTATAAATCATACAGAGTGAGTTTTTTTTTTTTTTAGAAAGTAAAAAAGCAACAAATTTCCCTGTAAGGGGTAGGGTTAGGTGTAGGGTTGGTGTAGGGCAATAGCACATACAGTTTGTACTAGGGCTGGGCGATATGTCAAAAATATCTTATCGATAATCGCCTTTAAAAATACCGCGATATCTGATAATATCGTCTAAGCCCCACCTCCACCACGCCCCGCCCCCGCTGAGACAACATTGCTGACACGCACCATAAACACACACCATGTTCAGTTTGGTCTTAATTATTGCCACAAAGTTTGGGTTTACTTTTCTTAGTTTGTTCTTAAACTAACAGAAAACAAGCTTTGCTGTTATTTTGGTGTTGCTAATAATTTCCACTCTGTTCTTATCAAATTTGTTTCTGAAGTGAATTTAGTTTTTGTGAGGAGAACTGTTGAGGAAAAATAATAGAACCCAATTTTAAGTTCATCATGGT